CGTTTCCTTTCCGCTTTTCCCCTTTTCCATTCTACTTCCTCTATCCATTTCTGCTCTTTCTTCTTCACATCACTCCTCTTCCTTTTTTTCCCACCTCCTCCACCTCCGCCAATGCTAGTCCTCCTTCCTCTGCTTCTCCTGCACTCCTCTTTTCCCCCACCTCCATCTCCTCCTCCTCCTCCTCCCAACACCGCTTTCTCCCTCCTCCTCCTCTCTCCCCCTCCTCCCTTCCCCCTCCTCCCTTCTCTTCCCCCCTCCTCCTCCTCCTCTTCCTCCCCCCTCCTTCTTCCTCTCCTCCTCCTGCACCTGCTTTCCCCCTCCTCCTCCTACACCCAGGTTTTCTCCTTCCTCCTCCCCCTCCTCCTCCACACCCAGCTTTTTCCCTTCCTCCTCCCCTCCTCACCTTCTCCTCCCCCTCCCCTATCCCTCCCCCTTCCCCTTCTCCTCTCTCCTTTCCTACCTTCGTCCTCTAACGAAGTGCGCTCTCGATCCTCAGTTCAAATATAACCACACAAAAGTAATTCCACAGGCACCTGGGCATCCCGACTGACCTACCACAATGTCAAAGGCCACTGACAAACCGCCAGAAAAACAAGTAAATCGAGGCATTTGTAATCTCAGAAAAGAATGGGGGTTGTAAGTGACGTGGCGCTGATAATGATGATGATAGTGATGATAATGGTAAAGTTTTAAAAAATGATGATAGCGTGAACAGTGTTAAAGTTTTAAAAAATGATGATAGTGTGAATAATGATAAAGTTTTTTTTTAATGCAAAAATCAAGAAATTTATAGCCAGTTATGTAATGTGAGAGCACGCAATGATATATCGAAGGAGTAAACGATACATGACAATAATAGTGAAGAACAGAAATTGTTGGCAGAGAGAGAGAGAGGGGTATTATACAAAGAGAGATAGAAAAAGAAAAAAACAGAGTAGGAGGAATAAAATATTTACTCAATGAAAGTGACCAAATTCCAAACTGTTTACATCGAAGACCCATACACTACTTACAGAGGCATTCACCAAAACCGCGAGTGTGTAAACAGGGGCTTGCGTGTGTGTGCGAGTGTGTTTGTGTGTGTATGAAAGAGAGAGGGAGAGGGAGGGAGAAGGGAGGAAGGGAGGAAGGGAGAAAGGGAGGGAGAGAGAGAGAGAGAGAGAGAGAGAGAGGGGGGGGTAGAGGAGAGGGGGGGAGAGGGAGAGAGAGAGAGAGGGGGGGTAGAGGGAGAGAGAGAGAGGGGGTAGGAGAGAGAGGGGAGAGAGAGAGAGGAGGAGAGAGAGAGAGAGAGAGAGAGAGAGAGAGAGAGAGAGAGAGAGAGGAGAGAGAGAAGGGAGAGAGAGAAGAGAGAGAGAGAGAGAGAGAGAGAGAGAGAGAGAGAGAGAGAGGGAAGAGAGAAGAGAGAGAGAGGAGGAGAGTAGAGAGAGAGGAGAGAGGAGAGAGGAGGAGAGAGAGAGAGAGAGAGAGGAGAGGGGAGAGGGAGAGGGAGAGAGAGAGAGAGAGGAGGAGAGAGAGAGAGAGAAGAGAGAGAAGGAGAGAGAGGAGAGAGAAGAGAGGAGAGGAGAGAGAGAGAGAGAGGAGGGAGAGAGAAGAGAGAGAGATTGGAGAGAAGAGAGAGAGGAAAGGGAGGGAAGATGAGAGGGAGAGAGAGAAGAGAGAGTAGAGAGAGAAGAGAAAGAGAGAGAGAGACAGCAGGAGNTGTGTGGTGTGTAATATACATATACATATATATAAATATATATATATATATATATATATATATATATATTATATATATATATATATATATATAATATCCACATTCCTGCATACACTCTTCATCCAGGTAAACACATGGTTATTGCAAAGCCTTTGGCTTTACTTGCGCTGGTTATTTCTACACGCAGTTTGTCCATAACAGTATCTCCACTAATGCTTTGACAGAACCCAGACTTTGGATTACAATATTTGTAACCTCTTTAATATCCACTAGGGCATATGTAATGCGACTTAATTTTGCAAAACTTTTACTTGCACTGTAATTACATATATTATTCTAATACCATGATACAAGGATAAACATTGATTATTAGATAAAATATGCGTCGAAATCTGGGCCCTCGCAACGTATTCGGAACCCCTGCCTTACGTAATGGTAGTAACATTTTCGGTTCATAAATTGCCTTGTTGTCTTTGCTTTATTTGTCGGGGTGGGGGTGGGGTGGGGGGTGGGGTGAGGCACAAGTAAAGAGACAGAGAGAGAAACCCTACCCCACTCCCCATTCCTCCCTTCCTCCTCCTCCTCCCACCACCTCCCCCACCTCTCACCTCTAATCCCCCTCCCTATCCCCATGCCCCTTGGACACTGTGGCCATCCTCTGTGCCCATTAGGATGGCCTCTGCCCGGCGACCTAAACCAGGCCATGTAAGAGAGTTGGACAAGTGATTCTTTATGTCTGTTCTCTGAATCGAATCTGATTTGGCCTCTCTCATTGTGGTTTGGTTGTTTATTTGTGTGTGT